TTTTTTAAATCTCAATTTTCAAAATTTATTCAACATTGTCGAAATATTCAATATACTCATGTTCTAAACATAAATTTCATTTTAACGTTCATTTCGATCGTTCGGAAAACGTTTTGGGAATGTTCACACCGAACGTCCCAGGGACGTTCAGAGAACGTTCTGGGAATGTCTAGATCGGACGTCCCAGGGACGTTCACAGGACGTTCAGGAAACGTTTGGACGTTATCTGGACGTCCCGAACGTTCACTAACGGACGTCTTATGGATCTAAGATGGCTACCTTTGCTTGCTTCAGTACCTAAGACGTCCCTGTGCTATCTGGGTATTTCATTTTGCATAGGTGTAAATATTTTGGAAATATGCAGTACATGTATTTCATATTCTGGTACGTCGTAAATACATAAAATTTGTACATATTGTTCAAGATAGAAATCTTATTTTTCCAATCATCATTGTTGTGACACGATTCAATCTTTTCGTTAATAAAGTAATTCGAGTTATGTAATGTAGAACCATAATGGATCAGATTGAATATAAAATAAACTCACAAATACTTTATGAATTTCATTAATCTTGTAGTAAGATCAAATACTTAACAGTGGTTGTTAGTTCCCTTTGAAGTCGTTAAAAGTTGGTCTAAGAAGATTAGGAACTCAGGATGAAAATATTACTAAACAAAAATAAAAGTAAGTCTTTGATTTTGCAAAAGTTGTTTCACCTTATGAGTAAATACTATCGTTTACTGTAAATTTTATTCACACAATAGTTAACGTAGAATGCTCTTTTTTATACACTTTAAAAAATAAATGTTGAAAAACATTAGCCATTCTATTCAAATTTATTATAACGAAAGGTAGAAAACTTAACGAAAAGATACGATGAACGCCATGTGGTTTGGGCTAGTATGATTGTATTTACGTAATACCTTTGCTTGCGCTGAACTAAAATTTCACAAAGTTAAATACGCAAAAACTTATGTTAAACCTAACGCGATTAAACAACCTAAACAAAATTTATTCAAGCATTACATTTTGCCAATTTTCTAACAGATACATGTCCAAATGGTACCAAACACCAGTAAGAATGCAAAGGGTACTTTACATAATGCAAATGAGATGCAGTAAAGCGTGTTCATTAACTGCGGGAGGATTGTACGACATGAATATAGAGAATTTTGGAATGGTATGTAACAATACAGATATAACGGAACAATATATTTTTAACGTTATTATGTAAACAGCACTTAATAACAAATACAATTTCGATTCAAGATTTTTAAAACGTGCATGTCGTATTTCACGATGTTGCTGTCAATGAAAGAGTAATTCGTCATTATTATTGAAGTGAACATTTTCTTGTTGGTGGAGAGTAGTATACTGGTCAATTGACATACAACAAAATAAACTGCTTGTACTCTAAATAATGGTCGAGTTGAAAAGTTATAGGATTATATTACATATGTGTAGTAAAGTTTCATTGAACATTTCAATAAACTTGTTGAACTATATGGCTTTTAACTGTTATTATTTAAATGAACCTCTCATATAAATACTAAAGATTATTCCTTGCGGTACAAGGACAATTCATGAAATTATTAAATTCTTGCACCTGATAATCTAGCACAAGGATGTTTGAACCTTTTAGGCCAATACAATGTACTTCTGAATTACAGTTAAAATGTTCAGTTACATTATGTATGTAAATTATTGTGTTTCTTAATTGATCGTTAAATAAGAACATCTGATTATTGTTTTGCATAATTTGCTTTACATTGTAAGTTTTACAATGTAATCGAGATAAACTATGGCGAACCGGATTGGTGATGCTCATGGGCCAGTGTTGGCCTGTGGGTCGTAGTTTGAAGACCCCTAACATAGCATAAACATTCCTAAATCAGTATCAAACACTCTTCAGTTTTTCCAACAGTCATTCTGCTTTTTCTCGATACCACATATGTTTTGTATTATCCGATGTAATAGAGATATTGCAGGTGGCCAAGGTAAGTGAAAAACACCCTGTATATACGATATAGTTTCATCAAATAATTTAAAATTCAAATATTCGTACAATTTTACACGTGTTTCGGACTTATATTACGCAATATATTTTCAAGGGAATCAAAATACATATTGTCGTCGTATAATATTTATTAACTTTTTCAACACGACCAAGCGGCATGTTGATTGTGGCTCAGCACCGATCACGTGTACGTAATCACCTATCCTACATGCTGTGTACGTAAATATACGTACACATTTGTGTATACACATATATACATAAATGTATGTGCGCGTAAAAAAGTGTGGACCTTATGAAAGAAATAGAAACAGTTTGCCGTCTTCATTGTCATAACGCTCGAATTTGTAACAACTACTTAGCTGACATAATAATACTTCATCCCTCTTCATCTTTGTGAGCATAATTAACAATCATCGTCCATAGTATGACTATCTTTATGTAACAACATTATCAGAAATTACTTTCGCCAGATAATGGAAAAGTATATTCGCGAGACTGGTCGATAACGATTAAAATCGTTAAAACGTAATTAACATTAATTCAAGTTAACGCAAGATTTCTCCTAAACTAAGAGGTTGTTCGTAGCGTAACGCAATTTGTCGGATAGAAATTGCTAGATGCAAACGGCGTTTTAAAAACATTACGCGTTCTACTCGTTCGCTATAGATTAAATACTAGATGTTCTAAATACATATTATACATACATAAACTACGACTAGGTATTGATCCTATGGATATGCGTATGTTTTATTTATACGTTGTGCGGATTTTATAGGTGTGTTCAAAAGAATGTACCATCGGTACAGTGTTACTATCAAATCTCACGTTATAGCCGGCAATGTAGACCGATTGTGTAGGCCTTGCTTGGTAAACATCTACATCTTAATCAGTTTCACGGTGATCGGCTTCGTTCTAACAGAAAGAAACTTATAAGTAAATACACGTATAAAATCGTGAAAGAAGCACCATAGCGTAAGAGTTGCAGGATCGACCCGGAAAGTTCACTCGATACTTTCCTGGCCGGTCATGAGTCCTTCTCACGTAGAAAAATATTATTCATTAGCTTTTCGATGAGCGTCGCGCCTTCGTCAACGACAGTACTCCGTATTGGTTCGTTGACAGGCACCGTTCTCCATTTTCGAAAACGAAATCTATCAGGTGTGGACCGCAAATTGTAGAAAAAACGGTATGTCCCCCTTCCCTCGAGCGCCGGATTAAGATTTTGTAGACCCTTGGGCTACAGGTACTGTGAGCATATATATGTATACAGTACATTGTTATCTTTGCCATAGTTTCTTTGCTACAAATATGTATATGTATATACAGTATATTAGTTAAATCCTTTAGGATATTTGAGGCTCTTACGTCCCAGTTTTTTGTACTTGATATTAATCGAGGCTTCCCAGTGTAAGCCATATCCTATGGATAAGAGACTCCGACGTGAGTAGCTTAGAATCAAAAATATCCAGCAAACCCCAACAAAAACTGTTGAAAGGAATACAGCAGCTACAATTAAAACAGCCGATCGACTAGATAATATTCACAAATTCGTCCTACCAAAATAAAGTACCTAAACTTTATGGACTTTCAAAATTCATAAACTCAATATCATACTTTGACCAATCGTAGGCACAATAATAGTCTCAATATATAAACTTGCAAAATACCATATCATCGACCATACATCTCTCACCTACAACATAGATAAGCATGCACGAAATTTGCACATGTACATGAAATCAAAGTCATCTACAAATAATTATGAAATTTTAATGTATTTACATATAACAGTAAACATGTAAAACTACTAAAATATATTAAAATTTTGTTGTTTATTTTTATTCATTTTTTTTCATCCTTATAGTCACATGAAATTTGTATGGAAAAAGAGGATAAATCTCACGTTGCTATTCTCAATGAAAAATAAATAACAAAAATTGTGTTACTATTAGATATGAACACGCTGACATTTTACAATTATTTGTTATGCGAAATAAAAATTCGTAAAAGATATAATTTTTTCTTTCGCACGAATGATGATAGCCTCTTAATCCTACCCCTCTCCCTTCAAGAATAATTTAGTAATCATCTTCTTAATCGATAGAGCAGTCAATATTTGCAAGAATGAAAATCTCGATGAAGAAATAGAGCTTACATTAAGAACGCTTTACTTTTAAATAGTTTCAACAAGAACAAAGTATAGGAAAGTCTAAAGTAGATAAAACAATAGGAAGAAACAGAAATACGGATGAAGAGAGAAAAACTCTCAAGTATTACCATTAAGTATATAGAAAATATCGTGCTCATGCGGTTAAGTATACATTGGTGAAACTGAAAATGCGATGTTTACGTCTGAAAGAACACGAAAGATGCGTCAGATTAGGCTACATACGATCAACTGTAGCAAAACACCAAATAATTACGAGCCATCAAATACTTTTTGACAAAACGAAATTAATCGAAATATCATTGGAGACATAGGATATATTTTGAACCCTATCTGGAACACACTGTTCCCAATTTTTCGGTAGTTCATCTAAATAATCGGAACAACTTCCATAGATGACCAGTAAACCGTGTCACGTCAATAATGTCAGTGTGTCATTTATTTCTAAAGTTAGCTGCAATACTGACGAAACATCGGAGTATTTTATCCAAAAGACACGGTTTACAACCGTAAGTCTCAGTTAGTATCAATTAAATCCTTTGTTAATCCTTTGCACTTCTGAAGTTTCTCTACGACACCATGCAAATTCTGCGTCATGGCTTTTCGGGCCTCATTATGATGACACGTTGTGTAGGGAAACCGTTTGAAGCACAAGGGATTAAAATACATAATTTAAAATATCTATATTTGATTTAACAATCACAAATAAAACAACTTTTCACTTAACGTCTGTAAGTCCTTGAGCTAGCGAAGGTCCTTAGGCTGTAGCCCCTAAAGTCTATGCCTTAATCCGACTCTATACCCCCTCTTCTAATCCCGACTTGGTGGAATTTCTCGCAGAAAGCGACGATCTACTGTGAGAAATTAACACGTTGGCTGTCACAGTTTTGTTACTTTTGTTGAACAAAATGCTTCACGACACAACTCTTTGCACAGGCGCCAGCTACGAGGTAACTCGTTACTTATTTTATTTTTGAATAAATATTTGGTACTCTAACGCATACTATTTTTATTCTCCCTTCAAACGTTCATTATTTATAATTTACTTGTAGATGGCGTCTGATGACAAATCGTCAGCTACGAGCGATGCTCGTAGTTAACAGACAACGTGTGTTAAGGGCCACCATAGTTATAGAAATAGGTTCTCGCTACTTTGGGCGTACCAGTAAAATTACCAATGTCCCACAAGATGTCGACGATGGTTTTCTGCTACCTGACCGATTTCAACACAGGACCTGTTTTTATCCGTGGTGTCATCGCCGGTATTGGGTCCAATGTTGGTAGTAAACATTCGGTATTCAGGTCCGCCCAAGTTTTGCCAACGCTGTCTGATAATCTATCCTTGTATTTGTAGGCCGTTCTATCGACTACCGATTGAGTCTTTATACAGTCGTCGCCGCCGAATTCGCAGACCCGATAATGGTGTAAAATCGCAGCTTCCGACGGTACGTTTAGAGTTCCGTGTCCAGGTATGAATTCCCAAACAAAGTGATTACCAGCTTCGACGATGTCCTGCGGCTTGCAGACATACTTTGAGCGCTGTTTCTGTGGGTGCAGTTTAGTTCTACGTCTCGTTTTCCTTAATGTGATTAAACCAGCTTCGATTGGTGTCCGGCTCATCACTATGAATGGGTCGTCGGCCCATTGTAAATAAAAAAAAGCGTTTTGAAAGGAATATGCTCCGGTGGACTTTGTGTTTATACGACTGGTCATCCATCTGGAAAACGATAAGTCCTGGTTAAAAATGTAAGTGGTCCAGACACTAGTTTTTGGTTTGTTTTAAGTAATAAAATGCATGCAAGTCATTGGTAAGGGGATGGTGTTTAAAATTTGAAACTAGAGTAAACCTCCTTTCCCTATAAACTGCGATTCCCTTTTCTCTACTTATAAATATAACCACTGAAGATAACTATAGTTTCATGATTGATGTATATATTACACGTGACACTTTCAATCTTAAAAATTCCTGCTGCAAAGACTGCTTATTTTCCTCTTTGTCTATTTCAATTTATCTTTTTTGCTATTTTTGATTATACAGAGTGGGGAAAAAGTATGGAAACCCCTAGATATCTCGCGAGTTTAGTGATAAAACAAAAAAGCAAAGGTCACACCTTAGGTAACTTTCAACAAAGAATCCAATGGTGATCTTGGTTAGACCATTGAACCTCATTTTCAAGGTCAACTTGATTTCTATAAATGGGAATCCCTATTTTTGATGCCATATAAGGGAATCCTTCTGGGTACAAATGGAAAAATTGGTGTTACTATCAGGTACTTACAGTCAGTGTAAGAAGTACTCGTACAACAACCAATTTAAGATCAATGATTCCTATACGAATACTTCTTACGCTGACTGTATGTAGTATATAAAATCGATTACAACAATTTTCGTTAAAAAATTCTAATGTCAATTGCCAGGTGTACAGAGCTACGACATGCAACCTTGGTAATTAATAACTCAGCAACAGTTTATGTAAAGTACATGTGTAGCACAAAGTACATCTCTAAAGAACAATTTTCCGTATTGTTCAAGGCAATGGAGATATTTAGGGTGGTCACATTAAATGGGATAATTAACCAGCGTGTGTAACTTTAGATAAGTACGACCGATTTGTTTCTATACTGCACTAGACAACATTTATTTGCTGTTCAACTTCCTAATGAAATACCGTGATGAAACGTCATA